CAATCTTGCCATTCCGTGGTCTTCTCTATATAACCAGCAGCTTCAGCAGCTTCCATGAAAGATTTGTATACTTTGCCGCGATGAGTTCTCAAATGCTCAAAAGACTGCACACCTTTTTTGTACAGCAGAAGTTTCCTGACAGCGTATAATTCAAGCATTTTGGGATTCACTGAACTCAGTCTCGCTATACGTAGTCCTTTGCGTTTATACCGTACATATTTTGTACCGTTGAAGTGATAGTTCTCCGCAACTTCCACCCATGTCATATTTTTAGCACAGTCATCCTCTTTCACAAGATCGAAGTAAGCCAACAGCTTGCTCTTCTTCCTTTTCGGTGGGTATGCCGTGCTCGTGAAAAATATCGGTTCTTCATTTGGTAGATGCGGTATGAGCGTGAAAACAGTATGCATCGTGTAGTGCATAGGATAACGCAATATACGATATGCTGCTTCCATGTGAGACACATAACGAGCCAGCCTGTAGATTTCTCGCATATCCAGATTTACGCATTTCTCCTTCTTCTCATTCAAGTAGACATTTTTGTTCATCAAGTCATCATTGTGCAGTAGCTCCAACACAACAGAATCCGGGCCTTTAAACACGTATTTGAAAATATATTTGAATGCTTGAATCGCAGCACATACTTCCACGTTTACGTGACATTCGTGTTTCTGAAGAAGCCACAAATTGGTTGGGACTACATCTCTGTTAGTAGCAAACGTTTTGCCCAGCTTGCCTACTACAGCTACTTTACCATCATCTCTTCTGCGATAAAGAGGATAACCACCATTGCACAATTCAGTAAAATTTCTATATGGTTTCGGATATCCTCTCGAGCACTTCGTAGCATTAGCATCACGACATCCAAGTTCAGGCCGCTCAGAACAGGGCCCATGTATCATATGTTTTCGTACAAGTTCGAAAAGCAGCATTTTACGTTCCCTCTCTGGATCATCTCTCTTTGGGTAGTCCGGAAGCTCAGCTGATATAATGGAGTCTATCTTCTCAGGAGTGTCCACTTTGTTAGCTAACGTAACTAGAAGATGCGCGTGAGGCATTCCACGTTTCTGAAACTCTATACTTCCATGCAACGCAATTACTTTTCCAAAAATTTCCTTCCTCTTGATGTCATCGATGAATTCCGTAAGACGTAAAAAAA